GGGGGGGGGGGGAGAGATAAAGACGATAGATGTTTGATAGGAAAAAAGAAGCAACCCACACCAGAGCACCCGCCAACGACCCACAGGAGGGGAGATAAAGACGATAGATGTTTGATAGGAAAGAAGAAGCAAACCAAACCACAGCACCCGCCAACCACCCACAGGAAGGGAGATAAAGACGATAGATGTCGGATAGGAAAGAAGAAGCAAACCAAACCACACCAGATCACCGCGCCAACCACCAACAGATACATGTACATCTTCATTGTCCAGCTCCTGCCCACTCGTCCCATCCCAAGGAGGTTCTACAGTAAGCAAGGTCCTTGACCCTAGACTCCACGTCCTCACCTTTGCAGCCCTCGCAGCTGAGAGCATTGTAGTGGTAGCCCGAGGCCCGGTCGCCACAGATACGGCACAGCTCCTCCTCGATGCTCTTGCCCTCCACGCCGTTGCCCTTCTTCCGTTTGGGGTCCGAGGCGCCGCCCACGTCCGCGCCGGGCTCGAGGGGATGGTACGCACTTCCGCCCTGACCCCCGGGGAAACTCATCCGGTCGGCTTGTGTCACGTCCAACTGGCTACTGTTGGGGGGCATTTCACCCTCGGGCCGAACTGGAAGAGAGGGAGAGAGGAGATATAATTAATAAATATACATCAATAAACTTCGTTTTTACGGCACTTCCAACACACATACGTAGAACTAGCTACTGTTGGGGGGCATTTCACCCTCGGGCCCAACTGAAAGCGAGGGAGAGGAGATATAATTATACGTCAATAAATACTTCGTTTTACAGAGCGTTTTTACAGCACTTGCAGCGTACACATACGTCCAACTGGCTACTGTTGGGGGGCATTTCACCCTCGGGCCGGACGGGAAGTGAGGGAGAGGAGATATAATTATACACCAATAGATACTTCGTTTTACTGAGCGTTTTTACGGCACTAGCAACACACATTCGTCGAACTGGAAGAGAGAGGGGGACGAGATAGATAGATAGATAGATAGATAGATAGATAGATAGATAGATAGATAGATAGA